CAAGGCAGTGACGGACATTCACATATTCAAACTCTCATTTGCAGAAATGTAGGTGTAAGTGGAAATCCTGAACAAACACAACTATTTGATTGCTGCCAGGGCAGCCAGTCCACCAACTCGATGACTTCTGTGAGCCACCCCATGGGAAGCAGGATATTCTGCATATCTGGTAAAGTCAAGATCTCTCATGAGAAGAGCTGAAAAAAGCTGAGCAAACTAGTTTGACGAGGATAGCTTTTGGCATAGTGACATGGTTTTACAGTCTTTTATTTGAATATCCTTTTGCTAAGAAAGGCTGAGGCACTTTTATGAGCACAGCTGCCATTCTCAAGAGTACAAGTAGCTGCTACTGTTTGATTGCTGATGTTTCTTTATCAGAGTAATCTGATTCCAATATTTAACAAGAGACAGCGCACATTTGTATGAAACTCGTGACACGCAAGTCTCTGTAGGGATACAGCATCGTGAAGTATTCTGTACAGAACATTTTGCCCTTTTCCTGGGTTGGGAGGATACAGAGAAGTTTCTATTTTTTATTACATATTGAAATAGAGTATAAGGAAAATCCTTCTACTGCAGTGACAAGCCACAGAAATAAAGTACTCCAGCTCAGGACTAAGTGATAAGATAAAAGTTACATTACCTCTGTTACAGTAGTCAATGTGAAGGAGGATTAAGGGAAAGAATTACAGACCTGGCAAAGGTCGTGTTGACTGGCAGATGACTTCTCTGGATAGCAGTAGCACAGAATAAGTTGAGGTCACAGGGTAAAACACAGAGGACTTGCATGTCAGTACCAAGCACTACAGAGAATTAATCTTTTCTGTGTAGACAATATTATTCAGACTAGTGCCAGGATGCTACTGCCTTGTTCTGTGCCTGAATTTCAACGGGGCATAGAAACCCCAGAGAGGGTTTGAAGGACACTAGTAAGAGACCTGAGGAACTTTCTTCAGGGTGCTCATTCTTCCTGTCTTCATAACAAAACAAAAAAAAAAAAAAAAAAAAAAAAAAAAAAGAGAAAAAGTTTTTTCAGTTTGTAAAAATATTTACAAAAGAGAGAGAAAGTTTGTTCAGCTTGTAGAGATATTTACACCTTGGAAATACAGCTGAAAATGCAAGAGGACAAAGATTTCCAACTTTGCTAAAAAAGACTTACCTCCAATGACCAAAACTTAAGAAAATCTGACTTTGGGACAGGGTAATATTACCCTCTGTGTTGAACAGTGCACTGGAAAATGGCTCATCACTTCCTAGATCAGAGACTTTTCTGAAGATAATCTTTAACCCAACTTCTTTGCAAGAAGAGTTCAGAAAAGGAGAGCAAACTTGTTTGACCAGGGCAGCTTCTGGGACAGTGACACCAGTTATGAACTTTATTTAAATATCCTTGAGCAAAGCAAGACCGACGCACTTTTATGAGCACGACAACTTTCAGAAAGTGCATGGGCTGAGAATTAAGCTGAACGTGATGGCCTTGTCACTTCTGTATACTTCCCTGTTACTTATCCCATCCCTTCCGGGGTCTTCGGAAGAGAAGGGCATGAAGCACAGCTCTGAACTGCAGCACTTAGTGAAGACAGATCCAACATCTGAGTCCCAGTCTGCAGCCCCCCATGCATAACAATTTCTACCAGCTTGCTTTCAGGCCCACAGAGGCACAGGAAACCCAACATACAGGGACTGCAGGGAAATTCAGTCCACTCAAATCTGGGCCACAATCAGCGTACACAATGTTTCATGCTTCTGACAGCAAGGGCCAACCCGAATTTCTTTGCCCCAGTGTGTAACTAGAGATGAAGGGGGTGACTGGTGCTCTGAAGAAGAACAGAGCCACAATGAGGGATGGGACACAGGCCAGGGTGAAAAGATATCAAAACAGCAAGCACTCCCAGCGTGACCCAGAGCGCTCTTATTCGAATGACACGTTTACTTTTATTCTTCATGGTTCATTCTGACCATCAGCAGCAGAACAAATGAGCCAGCAGCAAAAATATTGCGTAATTCTTCTCCTTCGTCAGAATGGACAAAAGGCATCTTGCAACTGAGAGGCAGCACTCTGCAGAGCTTGTGTACACGCACGAGGATTTGCACACCGTCGGGCAATATCTAGAGCAACATGGCTCTGTTTTTTCACCCCAGAATGACTAAAATTTACTTTTGATTCTATTAGGGTAGCTATGGATATTTTTCACCCCAGAAATCTGGTGGGGTTTTTGTTTAGCTTGGATTTTGTTTAGGTCTTTTATATATATGGATCTTTTTATATATATACACATACACACACATATATATGCGTATACATATATGTGCACACGAGAACATGATAGACTGTTTCTTGATTTTATTTTATTAACCATGAATCCCTTGATGGCATCTTTGTCCAGCTTGAAACCTTCAGACTGCCCTATATTAGGGGAAAAAAGAAGAAAGTCCACTACAAGTATCCACTTAAGAGCTGCACTGGCCACACATTACTTCTCCTGGTCCCTCCTGTGTATAAGACCATGCAATGAGTCAGTGTAGGAAACCCGTCAAAGCAATGCTCTCAGGGAAAGTAAATAAAGCACCACTTTTGGTGGGTCAGCACAAAATCCCCCCCGGGATCTCCTCTCCCATCCCCATCTCCATGTTTTGCTGCAGTAGTTTCCAGCAGAAGGGATGCAACATTTAAAAAAAAAAAAAAAAAAAAAAAAAGAAAGGAGTCATCTGCAGTCAGCTTGAAAAGAAAGCTCAACAGGCAGCTTCAGCCCAGCAGCCCTCTCGGGAGGCCCATGTTACACAGAGAAGGGCCCTTCCACTCACTACCGTCCAACCCTGCAAAGCACCCTGTGTCCCAGTGCCGGTCCCACATTCCAGTGGATGGCCTTAGCTAAGCTCTGCCTTGAAAAAGTGTATGTTTGGTCCTTTTAAAAAAGCATTTTGAGCCACACCTGCAAAGGCTGAATTTGGCAGGATCTTTTCTTTTTTCATGACAGTTATCACTGATGCTAGAATAACTATAGCTGTTTTCCAGGCAAGACTTAAAATCTGGATAAGTGATGATATGAGAAATTCCATGAAAGACAGGAAACAAGCCAAAGCAATCATCAACTGCTCAAAAACACCTTCAGAAAAAGCAGCATCGTAAACTTTATATATATAAAAAAAGGAGGGCATTAAAAAGCAGAGCAAGAAGAAACTAGAGAAAAATCCATATGGGTTATATGGCCAAAGAAGCTGAAGCAACTATTAAAAGAGGTGATAGCAAAATACAAACTCAGCAGAAATCTAACTGGCCAGCCACACCAGCCACAAGGCTTGTTAACGATGAACACGGAAAGGCCTTGAAGACAAAAGAAAACAGCTGGCTTAGGCAACTGCAATGGAAAAGTAGGTTGGATTTCGACCATGTAGACAATAAGCTGATTAACATCTGCCCAACAAGTATTCTCCAAAAGATAGAATTAAATGGCAAAAACCACTTAGATGGCACAGATTTTAAGAGATGACTTGATAACCTCCAACACAGGTCACTCCAGAGCATCTCAAGGAACTATAATGCATCAAGAAAAGTAATTCTCATCAAGCCTTTACACTAATGCACAGTTATACAGGGAAAGTAAAATATTGGCTCAAGTCTGTATTTATTTTAGATGCTGGTGTCAAACTAGAATGTATTTCTCTGAATTTTAATTTGGCATTGCTATCAGAAGAAACAGAGATGCAACAGACACAACATGTGACTCAGGAGCATTTTAGGAGATTTCAGAGTTGTTGAGCCAGAGTGGCAGCTCAAGGGGGTAGAGCTATAACAGAGCGTCCAAGACTGCAAAAAAGATGGGGTTAATAACTATCTGTCTAAAACATCTGCAGAGAAGACGAGTAACTCCCAACTCAAGCCCTATGCTGGAAAGTAATGGAACAAGACAGAAGTTGGTTCACGTACTTTGGCAGTAACTCAAAGACAGTGGAGGTACCCAGAAGGAAACAGCATCACGAACTGGTGAGGTGGCAGCTCCATTCATGAGCTGAAACCAATGTTTTGTCATAAAAACTACAACACTTCCACTCAAATGTTATTTCCAGTTTTATTAACAGATGGGTGTGAAAAATGGAAGTCTACCAACAGTATAGGCAGAAGTCTGTGCATCTTCAAATGCCATCTCTCAGGAGAACAAGAGGTATTAAATAGAGCAGCTTTAAAACCACGGCTAAGATTTGTCACAGACCAACAACTGCTTATGTCCTAAGTTACCGCCATCTTTTCTGGACAACTGGGGCATGCATCAGGAATACACCAGAATATCTGTCCTGACAAATTTTTCACCAGCAGCTGAAGGCACATGTTAAATGTGCTAATTGTCAGAATCCTTTCAACAGACAGCTCTTCAGGAGGGGATTTAGTACTAGAAAGGACATGCAAAGAGCAGCATAAGCATAGTTTGGGACAGGGGAGCCTATTTTATTTCGCCCTAAGCAACACTCGATGGTTTGGATGGAATTCAGCTTCAGAATAAAATAGGTTTGCCTTCAAAACAGATCGCATAATTGGCTTTAGGTTTTAGTGCAATTTTCTTTTTAAATGGACCAAATCTTTAAGTTGCTCATAACTCAACTGTTTGAAAACAGCAGCAAACCTAACTGCCCCAAGGAAATCTATTCTTATCCCCAAACTGAGACTCACAGACTGGCCAGCCAAGCTGCGATGAAGGAAACTGCTACAGCAGCATCTTGAATTAAACAGCAACCAGCAGTCCCCAGACAGCCCTGAGAATTGCAAATCTAAAGGTGTGACTTCTGTTTCACAGATTTACTTTGCATCAATCAAAACTACATAAAACCCAGTCCTTAATATCCATTCAAAACTATGAAGGCGGTTTAGCAGAAAGGGATAGAAGTGATAAGGCATTAAGCTTTTATGCCTGTATTTTATATCTTGCAGCAAAGCAAGGCAACAAAGTAATACTTCAACAGTTTGTTCAAATAAAAGGTTTAAATCAGCAATCCGATCTACTCACCCTTTTCAACAGTATCCAGGGAAAGTTTCTTAATGTCACCAGCCAACATATCCTGCAAGTGGTCTTGTCCATGCTCTGCATCATTATCATCAAACTGAGCTTCTATAATGACATCCGGACTTCTAGCATCACCTTTCGCTAACTCTTGAGGAACGCAAGTGCCCAACATATCCTCAGGGACATCTGATTCATGTGTGGCTTCTGTTTCTTTGTCACTACCATCTGGCTTTATTACCTGAAGGAGCAAGGGATTAAAAAAAAAAAAAAAAAGAAAAAAAAAGGCAAGCTAAATCACTGGACTGAAGAAAAAAACCATTATCCTTCCTTTTTCATCTGCATCCCCAAGGAGCTGACAATGAATGTGGGTGCCTGGTGGCACACTGCAATTGCCATGTAATTAGCCACAGATATTGCACAATCGAAAGAGCTACCTCTCGCTAGGATAAAGACGGGAACAGCATGGCTTTTGCAATACCTCAACTGTGACAATAATGTATCCAAAGCGTATCTAGAGCAGAACCATACAGTTCCTGCCAAGCCTCTAATCGGCTCTCCAGAAGTTGGGAGTAAGCACAGAGAGGGAGGAGGATACACTACAATTTAATGAGTTGCTTAGACCATTGTTCACCAAAGATACACTAATCATCCTGGGAAGTCCCAAAACTCAAGCAGTTCCAGCGAATGCTGGGATCATGTCAAAGCACACCTCCGGGAGAGCTCCCCAACACACAATTAGGAACAGACTGAAAAAGTACAGACCAGAGAACATGGTGCCCTGTGACCTGAGGAGGAACTGGACTGTGGCAGCTTGGTAAGGCACCAAGCTTTACATTTATTTTAGGCTCTGGTCTTTTTGTTGAAGGCACTCAATTATGGCTGTTACTTATACAAATCTCCTAATTAATTTAACAAGAGGAATGAACTCTAAATTAGAGTTCAAATTACTTAACCATGAACTAACTGATAATTCAGATAAGTAACTGACACAGATTTGTCCCCACTTTAGTGCAGCAAGGGCACAGGGGGAGGAGAAACCATATGCATAATCACGTCAGACAAAATCATGGTAGGCACCAGACCTGGATGACATCCCTCACTGCATGTGAGGGAGGCAGAAGCTGCTCCATCTCAGGTTATAATCATGAAAGAGGTTCTTATCTTGGATATATATGCCTTTACTGGCATCCTTCACACAACCAACAGCGAGTTGCAAGCACCTACCTGGCCCAGGAACCTAGATCCTGATTTTTGTTTCAAAAGTAAGTTTCACTCAAGCTGTGGTACTTCAGTGTGAGATTTAAATCAGCATGGAATAAGAAATAACCTACTAAACATTAAAAATCACCAAGAAACTGGGTGACCCCATTCCAATGCCCTGCCGGTGACTGAGCTCCTCTCTAGCTGGTGCTTGCCAGGCAAGAACTCCCTGGAGATGCTCCTCCAAGGTCCCCAGTCCTCAGCATTGCTAACATGACAATAGCGACTCACACCACCAGCAATGCAAGCGAAAGGCCCTTTAAAAAATGCAATTTAAAAAAATTCTGGTAACATAATTTACATAATATAGTCACTAGAAATAAGCATAAATAGCCTCAACAGGTCCTAACTGAAGACAACCATTCCCAGTAAGAAAAATACAATCCAAAAAGCTCCACAAATTATTGTTTAGCAACTAAAAAGCGAATAGATCAAATCAGACCTGTACAGGGGAGTCTTTCAAAATTTTACATATACAGATCTACAGTCATGCTTTCAGGCAGTACCTGTTTCTTTGTAATCTTTTCACAATACATAAATACAATCATTTTTAAAACGGGGTTGAATTCAAGTCTTTAAAAATAAAAAACTCAGACAACATTACTTTGAACTCTGGTTACCTTTTGTGACTCTGCTTTCCATCTTTATTTTCGTTTTTTAATATGTATATAATTTGTTACCATAGCAGATTTTGACTCAAACATTAAATTGTGACAAAAAGGGAAAAAGTTTGGCAGAAGGTGGAAAAATGGCCGATTATTAAACCTGGCTACATTTGGTACATAAAATACTGACACACAACAGTCTGGGCAAGAACAGTCTATTAGATTAGGGAGCTGACAAGGCTCCACACGCTAGCGACTCTGCCAGTGTGCTATCCAAAAAGAAAACCAGTGTCAACAGTAATGTTTGGACCCTACCATGGTCAGATGTGGATGTATTCAGCTCTTAAATTTCAATTGCACCACATGTGTGCAAGTGTGCAACTGCAGCAGGAGTTCATTTTCTTCGACCCCTTCAGGTTTTGCCTGCATTTCTTTCTCTCCAAGTCGTTCTTTGGAGAGTGAGAGATGTGTTTTGGGTGCTAAAGTACAAAGCTTTCTCTGTGTAATGCAGCAAACAATGCCAAATATATCTGAACGATAGAAAGTGCTCCTCTTAAGATGCAGCACTGAAAAGCTTATGCTTGAAGAGTTTATGTTGCACTAAAGAAGGCAGCAGACATGGATTTCTTTTTAAATGCTATATGCTAAAATTACTGTGCTTCCCCCAAGCTAGAGGATACACACTGCTGTCACTAGCTAGCATGATACTCCACCTGTGACTACCTAAGCCCCCAGTTACACATTTCCTTATGGATTTGCAAATGGATTTTTAAGTAAAGTTTTCCAGAGTCTACAAAATCACGACCTCCACACAGTGCAGAGCAGCAAAATGTCCAGATGCTGGCAAGCACGGGTGATAGGATTTGTTTTCTTTTTAAGGCCAAGACAGATCATTTAGGCTGACCTCATACATAACAGAGCAGGGAATTTCACCCAAGATTTCTTACATCACAGCAAAAATTTAGGGAAGCTGTACATCACAAGACTGGAAAGCTGCACAAGAGTTTACAAAATCAGGAGCTCAATGGATCCAATTACTCCATTTAAGATGATCAGAGTTCCTGGCCAACATGAGCTCATCACACAGATTCCAAAAAGCAGGATCCTTCTCTATATGAGCAGTGGCAAAACTAACCGTGACAGAATAAGCATTTCTTATATGCAGCATCTCAGAAACCAGAAACTGATGACATTGCACTCTCCTATTTCTTATTATGCTACTGAAGTTCATACATGACATAACACATGCAGCTAGAACATATTGGCACTTATCAGAGACGCAGAATAAATCAAATACACAATTGGCTAAGTCTATCACGTAGTCATACGTGCAGTACAGAGCATCATCTTTTGCCAGTGCAGCTGACTCTGCGTGGACCCAGAAGGAGGGGATTCCCCCATGCTGCATATGCATGAAATGCATGACCCTACCACCACGCAAACATGTCAGGATGCATGGTTAAAGCCCCTTAAAGGACCTTAACTTCCTGACCTGGGAAGTCAAATGTCAACTTTATGGTTATATTATTTTCATATGCTTTCTAATTAAAAAGAATCTTTTAATAAGCATTTTTGTGAAAGTCAGTTGCTTATTTGAAGGTCTGATCCTTAAGATAGTGGCTGAATAAGTTTTCTTCCAACTTTAAACAAACATCTATCACTGAACAAGCATCAAGTTTCTGCCCCACAGTGATTAGTTTGTAAAGTCATAGCTGACTGAACACAAGATCTTTGAATGAAAATCCCATTTCAACCATAAACATAATCAAAACCAGCTAGTGGGCAAGTATATCCTGGCATGGATATGTACAATCTGGACAGCAGCGCGATTACCTCGCTGCATCCAGACCCGTCTTGAAGTAGCCATCAAACGAACAATTGTCCTTACTCAGGAGGAATTTGTTCCAACAGAAAACTGAACCAGGAGTCTGTGCATCTGAAAGCACAGGGGTTACCTCCTGAGCTGCAGGAGAAACTGCTTCTTCTGCCAGAAGCAATCTTATACCTGCCCTATTAGCTCCAAGCTTTTCACAGACTTTCCACCTAAGCCTCACATCCTTAGGTTAACGGTTGGACTTGATGATCTTAAAGGTCTTTTCCAACCTAAACGATTCTATGGACAAAGTCCAGGCCTGTTTCATCTCAGATTGGGTATGGGGGTTTTGTTGCTTCCTTCTCAATGCCAACAGTTAACAACTCATACATTAGCCTACAGTGTCAAACTTCTGAACCAGACCAGTGATTTTCAATCATCTTTGAGCTATTAACCCCCAGGCTTTTGCCAATAAATGCACCAAGCCACCATGTGTTTAAGCCTGATACTAATAGGTTTGCTTTTCTTCCTTATTCATCTCTGATCCTTACAAGCAATCCATGAATCCTCATAGATCTGAAGATGAGACATGGATGACTGCCAGACTAGACATGGTTGGATTGGATGCACTCTGCATGGCTAAGGTCACTGTTTTCAACAACAGAAGTTTGTGCAGAGACCTGAAAGCACCTTGCAGGTAAGGAAGCAGGATCATCTTCCCTACAACTGTTTTGGACATAGCTTCAATAAAAGTGAAATTCTTCATCCCACTCAAAATGCTGGTATTAAAAGGAGGGATTAAAGTATTGAATTTAGACATTTCCAGTAGAACATACTATTCTTGGGATTCTTCAGGTCAAACTTGCCCACCACGCTGCAGGACATCACTATTACTTCAAGCAGAGAGCATCCTAAATTCTTCTTTAAACACCCAACTACTTGTGCTCGGTTTTCGCTACCCTTTTTTCCATAGTAGAACTACTTCAGAAATTCAAAGACAGCATTTGCTTCCACTTAAAAAAGAAACAACAAATAGATACATGACTCATTCTCAAAGAAAAAAAAAAACCAACAAAAAATTGTTTAGGTTTGACAATGACAAGTATGCTTACGACATTTATCACATCAGCCAAATTTGGTCAGCTAGACTTCTTGCGCGGTATCCTTCTTGCCACTCCAGAATTCACCAAAGCCCCCAAAGGAGGTCTTGCAATGAACACGCAGTAGGAAACCCACAAGTACACAGAACAACCCACTGGGAGTTAGGTTTTTGGTGGGATTCCACATAGGTCTGCAGTAGGCCAAGCATTCCCAATAATCTGAAACTAAATATTAAGTCACTGGTAATAAAACTCGCGGATGACAAAGACTTGCAGAGCAGTCAAGTCCAATTGGTGAACAAGGCTGATCTGAATCCAGAATGTTTGAGAATAGCCAAAAGTAAACTCAAATATCTAAGAATATGCAACACATGCCTGTGAATGGGTCTGCCTCAGAAATCGCTGACTCTGAAAAGAATGTGAAAGATTTCTAATAAACAAAAATCTCAGCAATAGGATC